CCACAGCCGCCTGTTTTCCACCACTGCGGCTGGTTACTGTTCGAAATCTGTCGAGAAATAGGAACGTTGTTTTGTTATTGTTGAGAAAACAATGCGTTTAGCTGCTGTGGAGTTTGTTTTTATCTTATCACATGACCTTCCTTAGCAGAGGAAGTTGTTTCATCAAAACATCGATTTAAGGATTCTTCTTGACCTCGGAGAAAACAGGTTTGTAGCTTTAGAGCAGCTGCTGTGAGACTGTTTTCAAAATATTTGGAGTTTCTGGGCTTTAAACAGTGACGTCTGAGGGTTTGCAAAACAACTGTAGCAGCAATTCAAGATCAGGAACCAAAGCACCACAACTACTCGCTAATTTTAGTTTCTGTCCAACGTTTGTGTAGAAAAGAGAAGTTATTCTTTATCCAAATGATCTTTCGTGCTGCTGTAAAACCAACGAAATGCTTTCTATTGCACCAAGTATCGTTATTGTCCAACCATCACTAATACGGACTCTTTGGTAGGACTCCAAATGTCCTTGGTGCTAGTCTGATAGCTAACAACTCTTTTCTAATGGACCTTTGGAGAATGAACTAGCCTGTCAGAATCAGATTCGAGCAGTTGGAGCTTGTTGTGGATCCCATCCCTTTCAGATTCTAACCTGACCGACACCAAACATCTCTGATGATCTTAAACCTAAACAATCGTTTTCAACTTTATGCTTCCACTTAACCGTAGCCATCTTTAATGTAATCGGAACCCAACCTTCGGGGCCACTTTTCCTTTCAAACTGGTTCCGGTTCTTTAACCAAGACTCCAAGAACCTCGTTGCTATCTAGTGAACCAGCCCACTTTTCTACCAATTTTGAGCGTAGCCGTGGTAATCTCATCATTATCAACATAGGGAGTGGCACAATGACATGTAGAATAAGACACACCTACTTTTGTTCCCAAGGAAAACCTGCTTTTTGTTTGGTTCCAGCTGGGAACCAACTTCTCAGGTTCCGAACCAATTTATTTTAGGTTGAAATGCCCCGAACTGTTCCAAACAAGGTGCGAGAACCGGAACAGAGCCCATTCCTTGTTGTTGGAAAAGTCTTGTTATAGCAGGTTTTTGTTGGCGGTGGGAACAAGGTTCCAAGAATCTTGAATGGGACCGATTCAAGAACCAGAGCTAGTTTAGTGGGAAAACCCTCTAAGGTACTTCTACCAATAACCCTGGTGGGATCCATACTTGTTTCAAGCATACCCAGGACTTCACTGTCCAAAGACCTGATGGACTGGAAAGCCCAAACTCCCTCATTTAATAGAGACATCCAGAGGTTGTAATTGTCGAAGCGAGTAGCAGCAAGTGACGTTAAGACTTTGTCATAAATCACAGTAGTGGGTTTTATAATGGTTTCTTCTACACGAGGATTTCTTTATAATGTTTGAAACTTATCAGTAAACGGTCTGATCGGAGCATCCCTAGTCCTCTTGGCAACCAGCAGGTTCTGGATTCTAGAGTCCCATAGGCTTTGTGCTGCTGTGGTTCTTGGCCAGTACAACCAGACACCATGGTTCTGGTTCTAGTAAGACCATATGGACGAGAAGCCACAGCTCCTGACTGGTAGAAGCAGTGGTCATGGCTCTGGCTCAGTACCCACGATTGTGTGACCACTAAGACCCTGAACAAGAACCATAT